ATCAAAATGGTTAGAGCCGTTTTCGAGAAAATCACAAAAATATGTTAAATCGAAGATAATGGAGTGCTACCAATGGGTAGTTTCTCCTCATGTTGTACATTTCATATTACTTGTTCATATTTACTTGTTGTATTTATTATTAATTACAGTTGTAAATTTCGTTAAAAAAAAAAAAAAAAAATCGAAGATACAAAGTGCCACTTCTGGTCAGCCGATTTTGACGAAAATGTTGCTGTAACATCCCAAGCATATAAAAACCTTAATTTCGCAATTATTATTTGGACTGAGGGGACCTTAAAACGTGTATTTCCGTTGAAAACCCAGATTCAAAAATTTTCAGTAGCACAATACTTACCCTTACTATATACTACATATATAGGTAAGGGAAAGATACCTTACTATATATTACATACATAGGTGAATGAAAGTTTAAAAAGAAGTAAGCAGCAGAGTCCTCAATAAGTTCCTATGCTTTTTTATTTAAAAAAAAAAGAAATTAAAAGGGATTAAATTGTTTTGTTATTGCTAAACAAGGAAAAAAAAAACATTGCAAATTATTTCACAATGATTTATTATTTTCAAATATCAATAAATCAAATATGTATGGCACATCCCCAAACATCACACTTCCCTCTACATAAGATAAAATTTATTCGCTAAGATTGGAAGGTTTAAAAAATATTTTTTCAATATAATTAGAATCATCAAATGAGCATTAGGAACCTAGATTTATAGTTTTGAGCTATAAAAAAAAACAAATAAAGGAAATCGAATTTCCGAAGGAACATGTGTACATAACTCAGAACACCACATCTCTTCAACAATGGTCCAATTTCAATTTATTTTATTTATTTATTTTTTTTTTTTTTGTACGAATTAGACTATAATTTAATATACATATCATTAAAGCCATAGATTTTAAGGTCTAGATTTTGTAATCTTAGAAAAAGAAAATAACTTAATAAGCGATAAGGACTTCTTCCTAGACTACTTGCCAGACGTTCTAAATTATCTCTGACTAATAAATTAACTATCTACAAAGTCCTCATTAAACCACTTTGGGCCTCTATGATACCCATGGGGAACTGCAAAGACATCAAATATAAAAATAATATATTTTTGAGAAATAAATTTTTTTTTTATCTCGATTAAAAAGATTTATAATTGAAAATAGTAAATAACAATTTTGTAAACGGTATAGGATTAACAAAAGTAAAGCCATTTACAACTTTATTTTTGTTAATCCTATACCAATTAAAATTTTTTTTTTATTGGAGGGCGATTTACAAAATCCTCATTAAATAACGTCGGACATATGGCATCGAGATATGGGGAACAGCAAAGAAATCAAATATGGAAAGAATCCAATTGTTCCTGTCAAAAGTTCTCCAGAAAATTGTCGACGCCCCCTTTAATTTTTCTAATAATTGAGTTACACACTGACCTTGACATTCCTTTTTTATAACTTCCAAAGGCCATTTTAATAGTGTCCATGACAGACTGACTCTAAATTCAAATCCTGAGGCACTGGCCATAAGACTTCCTGCATTGAACTGCTTGATATCTTATTATTTTTATGTTATACTTTTTTGTTATTGTGCTATTTACTCTTTTTTTCTTTTAGTTTAGTTTTGTAATTTACAAGTATTTTATGTTTTAGTATTTTCTATTATTCATATTCTTTCTTGCTTGTTTTCTTTTTCAATTTTGTTCTGTTCTCCTTGATATCATATATATTCCTTAATATCATATTTGCTCTTTACCATTGTAGATAGCAACTTTTTCTTGACCGAAATATATATCTTATAAATATAATAAAATAATTTTAATAATGACATTTACATCAAGGAAAACCATAATAGTGGAAAATTACTTAATAAAAAAAAAAAAGGTTCTTGGATGGGTTTTTCATACAGAATTCTTTATTTTAATTCGCCTCACATTTTATATAATTTTTCATTTAGTGGTAAAAGTTGAATGGGAGCTATTTTTAATTTCTTTTTATCCTGAACTTAACGTTTCATTAAATCTGAAATTAGCTTAAACAACATTATTTATTTTTTAGAAATAAATAAAGTGCAATTAAAAATCTCTACTGAATTACATTTAGATATTTTATCACTAAAATTTGTCAGATATCATAAAGGAGCTCAAAATAAATAAGAAATACACCATCATTTATTTTTTAATATCTGTTATTATATTCGTCGCAGGCATTGTCCAAAATTACATTATGTTATCAATTTACTCATTGGATTATGTTTACTCTATCTTGGTAACTCTTTTTTGTTATGTATATTTTGGCCACCTTGAACAGATTCTAAAATAATATATAGTGTTGGAAAATAGTGAATGGGGGGATGTGAACTAATGTAGTGTATTGAAGAAACTCGTATTGATTTCAAGAAGTGGTATTAGGCTTAGGAAAGATGTTAAAATGATGAATTGGTTTACGATTTTTATTTTTTTATACAAAATTTGTGAGGCATCAAATCACATTATGCATTTGAAAAATATAATAACACAATAAGTTCTCTTCTTTTACTTTCCTACCTATACTAGGTAAGGAAAGTATCGCAATCGGATCAAATTTCTGATATACAGTTTTCGACAGATCTATAAGTTTCAGAGCCCCCTGAGTCCGAAAAACACATTTTTAGTCATTGGTCTGTCTGTATGTACCAAGATTATCTCGGGAACTAGTTTCCTTTAAGTTTATAAATATGATTTTTGTATTTAATTCTTAGCTTTATTTGTTTTATTGATACAAGACTTCCACTACTTGGATTGTCCCGTTTTAGTTCAAAACCTTTATGGCTACACTATTTTCTACTGTTTTCTAGTAATCTAGTAAGAACTCTTGCATTATATATCTATCCTTTTCCTCCCTAAAACATATTTAACTTTTGTTTAAGTTGTAGTAAGAATTTAAGTCGAAACTAGGATTCATCGTTACATTTTCTTAGACGTTGAACACATATAGAAAGTCTGCTGATTTAACACTGTTACAAGGGTAGTATTTTTTATTATAAATTACAAAAAAATCTATTTTAATATTCCACCACTCCAGAGGTCTTTTAATGGAACAGAAATACTGTTTGTATTTGTGGAAAACAAAGATTTTGGGTTATCATCATATGTTCCAAGACTATAATTAGTAAAATATCTCAGCGTCAAACAGCCGATTACCAATTTTATGAGCTTGGAGAAACATTGAATTTCCATTTGGAATACTAGTGAATAAGTGGAGGGTTTTTCACGGCCTCTTGAATGTTGAACTCCCTATTTGTGTCTTAATTAAGAGTGTGCTATATTCTTTACAATTTTCTTTAGAGACAGAGATGACCTGCTAATGTTTGATACCAAAATTGCAGGGAAAAAACAAAGCATTAGATCTGAACCTGATAAATTATTTCAGAAGAGAAAATCATACAAGTGGCAGGGCTTGTATTAATAAAACTAATCATTGAATCTATTCTATAAAATCATAATTAGAATTATACTATAACCATCAAAAATTATTTAGAACAACTTCCCACAAAAACAAAAAATTGAACAAAAGCGTCTCCACCCTTGATGTTTTGTTTTTACCAATACCGATACCTCAAGATTTTCCATTTTTAAAAATGAATACTATACTTTTCATAAATTTACCTTTATTTCCCAGTTTTCTGATATATTATTCACATTTGTTCATGGCAACTTAGTTAAAACAAACACTTTGATTAATGAATGAGAAATGCAGCCTGTGCGTTAAAATGGAAATTCAGTATGTTCACCCTAATTTTTTTTTTTTTTTTAAATACGTTTTGCCTCACTTAAGGGCATTGAGTATTTGGGATGTATGAAACATAATCATATATACAATAAAACAAAAACAATTGAAAACTATAACAAAATAAAAGAAAAGAAAACTTAGAATAACAGAATAAATCAAACATGAGATAACATTAAATAAAAAAAAATTAAAAACACATTCATACTCATTTACAATATTTACGATCAGCCAAGTCGGGCTCTTTCCTCCACGTGTGGAGGATAAGGAAAGACTCTAAGAGATCCCCACGCTTCTCTTTCAGCTGTACCACTGGGATGGGAATCCAGTTGAGACTAAAAGAGGGCACTACAGCTACATACGCTCATGACTTGAGCGGAGAAGCTGGCCATTGTTAGGACTCATTTGACGTATTTACTTACAAAAGATCTTGAGCCCACTGCTATTTCAAACTTCTAGGATGATTGTAGGGATGACTGGAACTGGATAAGGATTGTGCTAAGGGATTAGGATGATGGATTAGGTTCTGATGAAAATTTGAGAATCGGGATGGGATGTCAGGGACAGAAGGGATGTTAAGGTCATGATGTAAGGTTTTGTTTGTAACATAATAAGGAGCATTGACTATTATACGGAGGACTTTAGACTGGAAGGATTGGATGCGTTTGATGTTCGAAAATTTAATTGTTCTCCACAGTTCAAGTCCTTAGGTCCAGATGGGTTTCGATATGGTCTTATATATTAATAGTTTGTTTTCAATTGAGAGGTTAGATTTTCAGTTAAGTAATCTACATAACTTGCCAAATCGTCGGTTAAGTTCTTGTCTTTTAAGTTTGGTATGTGTGTTTCATGTTAGTCTTTTGTCTAAAAGGAATTCAAGGTACCGAACTGTGTATGAGATGGTAAGAGGTACAGAGTTAAATAGAATCTGGACAGGATCTGCATCGGAGGGTAATGGTAACATACTTGCACTTGGATTCATTGATTTTGAATGTATTTTGTATGTATTTTGATGCATCTTCACTATAATTAGGTAACATCAACTTGTTTAATAGACATTTTAGGTAATTAAGAAACAACAAAATATATAAAATACTTATATTTAAATTTCAATTACTTACAATATCAAAGTAAATAAATTTATTTACAATAAGTTAAAAATATAGTACATAAGTACTAATACAAATATGTCAAATTATACAAATAAAATATAACATTGAACATTTTATGGGGGAAAAATCAGATAATAAAACATATTTACAATGATATAGTATTGTATGAACATAATAAAATTGTAAAAACAATATTATTGTTTCTATAAAATTACTTATTGATATAAATTCAATGATGATATTTCACATTCATCCTTAGATGTGTAGTTTCTTAATCATTGGCATGGAAATTAACAGTACAAATTTTTTTTTTATATTTCAATGCCTTTTTGCCATATGGGAAAATTATATTTAGTTTTACTTTCTAAAAATCCAAATTTGTGATATAAACATTTCATCAGAGGTATGTCAGCTCTGTGTGACGAGTTAATGCCTCTTTCCTTTGGTGACTCTAGTTCCCATATTTTTCCTCCCTTTTCCCTTTCTTTTCCCTGCAGGTTGCTTCTTTACTGGCTTTCTTTGCGGTTGTTTAATGTTTTTCTTATTAACCGTTTTCTTGGGCACACCTGAGAATCGGACAGATTTCTTATGCACATCCTTTCTCATTCTTTTTGGTGGAAGAGAACCATCTCCACCACCTTCATTCCTTTTCCTTTTAAGGATCGATTTTTTCTGAGATTGCTGGAAAAGTTCTACAAAAAAAAAAAAAAGTAATTAACAAAATTCTGAAAATAATCAGAAATGAAATTTAAATAGAACTAAAATTAAGTTATGATAAAATATAAAATTGTGATCTAGAAAAAAATTTAACTGAAGAAAGAAAAATATATAAAATTAAAATAATAATAATTTTAAAAATGACAAACCTATTTTTTTTCTTTACGGGAGAAGGAGGAGAGGAAGAGGAACGGAGCATATTGTAAAAACACAACAAGCACATAAGTTATTTTAATAAGTTAACCCAATTTTTTATATGCATCATTTCACAAAAAAAAGGAATATGTATAAAAATGTAGATAGGCTTAGTCAATTAGGTTTTTAAAACCTGTAAAAGGTTTTTAATAACAATAATATTTTTCCTTAATGGCCTATGAATCAAAACATAAGAGTAAAGTAGAAGTAAAAAATCTGGTGCAGTCCGTGCATCATACAACTTTCACTTACCTATAGGGTAGTTAAAGTGATAACGATAGTATAACTTTATTTAAAACAATTAATTATCATGTTTTTCCCTATTGAATCTATTAACTTTATATGTTTGCACCACTTTTCATTTCCTTTAACAACTGTGGACAGCACCAAACAATACTAATGATTGTGGGGAAAAATAGATGTTCTGGAAAAATTCTGAGTTTTATTGGAAACATTTATCATTAAACTCGTTGAAAAAACAACTTATTTCATGTGAAAATCTTTTTAGAAAGGTATGGATAAGTGATATATAAAAGTTACATTAACAACATGAAAGCAATGTACAGAGGGGCATCTGTAGAGGAAGAGGATTGGCAAAGGTTGTGCACTCTCGACTGTTTCCATATAGCGTCTAACCCTTACTTCTCCTTCAGTTAACAATCAAATTCTTTCATATTTTATATTTAACCAGTTTTTATACCAGATTAAAATGTGAAACGGTTAATTTTTTCAAATAAGAAAAATTAAAGGAACTTGAGAGGAAGATATTTTGAAAATTAGGCATTTAAGACCTGTTAGAGAACATACACAAGAATAATACCTACTCTTTATTAAAAACTGCTAAATTTTATACTGATATAATGAATTTAATCAAAATTGTTAGAGTCGTTTTCGATAAAATTTCAAAAATCTATTAAATCAGTGATATAAATTTCCACTTCTAGTTAGCCGATTGTGACAATAAAGTTGCTGTGACATTCCAGGCATATATAAATGTTAAATATGCAACTTAATTTTTGTATAACTTTTTGTTTTTGAGCTAGACTGTTCACTTACACATAGACTATTTTTAGACTATTTTTATTTGGACTCAGAGGAACTCAGAACATCTATTTCCGTTGAAGATTCATTCAAAAATGTTCACAATCACAATACTTTCCCTTCTTATATATTACATTTATCTGAAAGTGAAAGTAAAAATTTAAGAAAAGGATTTTTTTTAATAAACAAAGAATTTATCTTTACTATGGGACATTATTAATTTCCTTAAGAATAACATAAATGGATATTTCAAGCATAATTTATCTGATTGGCTAAAAGACAAAAAAATTAATTTAAAAAATATATAAAGTTTTTGAATAAATAGATATTTCATACCAACTGAATAAATCTTTTCTTTGCATATAAGCGAAGGATTAATCATTGAAGAGATAGAAAAATAAATGGTGTTCTACAAGATGAGCTTGGTGAGAGAGCTTCATAAATAAAGACTGGTAAGGAATCCTAAAAAGAGGTACTGTGATTGATAAAGATTTTTTTTAAAGAAAGTTGTTCAATGAAAAGGGATAGTAAGATCTCGTATATAAATGATCGATGGGAGAACACAGAATGAAGATGTTAAGAATATAGGATGGTTTTTTTTATCTCAAAAATTGGAATAAAAAGAGATCAAGAAGGTATTGTGATCGGCCCTATAATAAAGACAGTCTGGCACAGAATACCAGTGTCGGATATGTGAGTAAGGGAACATGAAAAATCTTATGGAGCATTTCATTAATGTTTTTAGTCATATCTCATGCTAACCAGATAGTCATCCATACACTAAGTATCCGTAATCACAGAGGGAGAATGTGGGAGAAAACTAGAAGATGATGGGTACTTTGAAGAAATGAACCATGGAATCGTAGGAGCTGTTTAAGGTTTGAGATTGGATTTTGGGTGATTTGGAACCGAATAGAAATATTCTTGAGATACAGTAATTGATAATGGGGAATAAATATCCTTAAAGGAAGTTCTTGAGCCAATGATAGTTGCCTTTGTTTTTGCTGTATTCAGGCACAACTTATATGGTACGTACAACTGTGGTTTTTGATGATTTACAACTAATAAATTAATAGATGTTTTGATGGCGATTGAAAAATAAATTTCTAAAAAAACATAGATAATCTGATTTACGAAATACATAACATGATTCATTGAAAAAAATTATGATCCAATTTCGTTTTAATTACATGAGTTCTTGAGCTAATTCTTAATAGACTCTTTGATGGTTGAAGACAAGGTTCAATCTGATCCTATGGCTTGCCTTCCAGAGAATATGACTGAACTCAAAATGAAATCATTTTGAACCATAAACTATACTGCAGAACAGTTTCAACTGACGCACTGGAAAGTTTCAATCAAAGCAACTATCAAGCAGCCATTATAACAACTAAGACAATACCTAATACAAAAGTTTTAATCTCTTTTATAATATTCATAGGGATTTACTAATAACTGTTGTAAAGTTATCAATGAAATTTAAAAAGATCCACTGTAATTGTGACTATAAAAACAAGAGGAGTTGATGAGGGGAATCACAGTTGGCTATAGGTGGGCTGATATGAAAAGGAAGACTGACTAAAGCTTTCAACAATGAGGATACTACATTTTTAAAAAATAATGCCTGACAACCAAACTTTCTGAAGATAAATTAAAAAAAAAAAAAGAAAACTATATTTAAAAAAGTGTATCAGTTCTTCAGAACTTAACACAAGGAACCTATAATATATCGCACAAGTAATAAACAATATCCTGAAAAATTCTTCCTTCTGGTTACAATTTAAATTTTATATTTTCACTGCTTTATCTTACAAAAGCATACTAATAATTTTTGATATAGTAATGCTAAAGAAAATCTAATCGAAACAAAAAAAATTAGATTTCCTGTCAGACAATTTTGCTTTTTATCTTCTTAGTCAATATCAGTTCAAATTTCAAGTATTGAAATTGTAAAGAAAAAAATAATCTAAGTGCTGGATTGATTATGTTAAGTACATGTACTTTGAACTCAATAAATTTCACGTTAACTTCTTTAACAAGTTGACTTTAGACTGGTTTACTCCGGCGTGAAATAACATTGCGGCATTGTTCGTTAAATAAAGTTACTACATTTTAAAATATCTGGTGTGCCCATTCACACGACTTTTTTATCATTTTAGACAAATTTATACAACGTTAAATATGTCTATTAAAAAAAAAAAAAATTGAATTAGATTAATTTTCTAGAAAACCAATCAGAGAAATAATTAGAGTATAATTCCTTTGATGAACTAAAGCAATAGGTTTGATTAAGATGATTTGTTATGCATTTCAAAAATTATCTGTAAATGTGTTTGTGTTTTTCGGACTTAGACATGTAAATTTTTTTAAAAATTTGACTTGATCACAATACTTTCCTTAATTAAAGGCGGTAGGAAAGTAACAAACTATTTGTAGAAAATATAATACACTGTATCATTGCTAATACTGGTTCGATAGCAATGAATTTTTCTGTTTTGTAGGAAATTTAATTACTTTTCAAAAGATTCTGTAGAAATTTTACCATTCTGTAGAAATCCATACTTTGGGAGTTAGGTCCCAAAACATTTTTTTTTTCTTTATAACATTTTTCTTCTCAGGAATTCACTACATGCATGAGAATTGAAAGGATTTAAAGTAGAAGATTAGGAAAGTTTAAACAGGAAAATAGGAAAGTTTCATCAAAATCGTTAGAACTGCTAAAGTCTACGGAAATTCATATTTTTCTCTTATTGTGCAGGGAGTGCCCAATGTGCTCAATTGTTGGATTTAAGTTTGGTATTTGGTTTAAAAAGCTTTAATAAGTCAAAACTTGCACTGGCTTTCAAGTTTAACAGTTTAGGGAGTCGGGATGGCCGAATGGGCTAACGTGTGTGCACAGCACTGCGGGTTGCCAGGCAACCAGATAACCAAGTTTTGATATTGAAAAAAATAAAAGTACGAGTTTGCGTCCCAGTGCCAGATGGGATTTTAAATTTCCATCCCTCGCCCTCCAGCCCGGGAAAATTTCGTATAGCATAAAAGGAGAGGTAGGAAAGAACAGAAAAAATAAAAAATAGCTGATTCCATTTAGTGGGTGGGATGGCCGAATGGACTAACGCGTTGTTCACAGCACTAACGTTGCCTGGCAACCTGATATATGGCAAATGTGTTATAAAAATAGCCACGAGTTAGCGTCCCGGTGCCAAGGCGTCTTTTAAATTCCTGCCAGCACCCCTTGGCCCGGGAAAACCCCGTATAGCCTTAACGGCAAGGAAGGGGAGGACCCCAGAAAAAAAAAGTATAACAGTTTTTTCTTCAATTGAGTTATTTCATTTTCATATTAAAGTAGTTGGCATGTGCATTATATATTATATATATTAGTCAGTCAAAAAATGATAACATAATATGTAAATAAGTAAATGTAATATATTATGAGAGAGACAAATTTTTCTCAGCTGATCACAATGGTTGATAATTGAAAATAATGAACCTAAATGTGTACAAACCCTGTACCCTTGCTAGCAATGGTCCTATTTTTTTTATTTATTTTTTTTTTGTAGGGAATTTTGAAACTTTTAAAATTATCATGTGTAAAATCGACTATTAATAATTAATTAGTTGAGTTGGGCATGAATTAAGTTGTATTTTCTTCATAACTTTTAGTTGGATATATACATTAAATCCATTTCATGGCATGGTGTGTGCTTGTGAATAATGAGATAATGTACGGATAAAGAGATTTTATACATGAATTGAATATAAAGAATTGATTCCTACTACCAAGACAAAGAAATTTCATGATCAAACAAATTTTCATCTATTTCTCCTACAATAATTTACATAAGCCACTGTCGATATGGAATAATATAGCTACTTTTTATCAGGTAAATGTTTAAAATAATAACTATAAAATATTACCTGGATCAGGTTCCTCTCCTACTTCTTGCCGATACCACTCGGCATCATCGTCTTGTTCCTCTTCTTTAACAGGCTCTCCTCCGACATTAATTCCTGCTTTTTTCATACCTTCGAGACTTTTTTGTTTTGCTGCTTCCTTTGCCTCTTCCTTCTTCTTAACATTGGCCATTTGTTCTTTTCGTCTCTTTTCTTTCAACTTCCTAAAAGTTAACAATTAATTAAGTTAGTGATACAATTGCAACTCTCGAACAGCACGGCAACTGAAACAGAACTACACTATTCCCAAACGAAGCCTAACCTTTTCAAATGGAAACACTCCAACCAAACCAGATGAGTTGTTGTTTTTAACCTTATTATGAGTCACTAATTGTTTTATGTCAATGATTACTTTGTTTTCAGCTATACAAAGGATTTCATTGTAGTTGTAATTTATAAAGAACTATGGCATAATTATCTTTTCAGCTATCAAGAAGGCAACAGATATAAACATTGACTGTAATTGTAATAAAATATTAAATGTAATATTTTTCTTTTTGTATGTTTTTTTTTTATTTCAAGGGACCTTGTACCAGAATAAAGTTATTTTCTATATATTTAAAACATTTTTAGTAAATAAAGTATTACAAATAATATTATATCATAGGAGAATTTATGAAAATTACTTGAGTTTAGGTATTAAAATTTGTATAAATGGGAATTGCTAAAATTTCACAATAAATCAGGATTTGAACGTGTCCAATTTTGTCGATTGAACCATTTTGTTTTTGTGAATTGAGTTTATTGAATAGATCCTACAGTATTCAATTTATGTTTGTGAGTGATGAATTTTCAAGAAAACTAAATTAATTAACTTTGTTTAAAAGAGATCTAGAATAACTTTTAAAGTATCAAAGGCTAAATCAGGAACTATCTATAGATTTAAATAATCTTTACATGAAACTTCAATGTCAATGATTGCTGCCTGCAAGAACATTCAATGGGGGGAGGGGAGGAGGTACAGAAATCACCAATCAGAGTAGGGATGTTGAGATTTGTTCTATTGGGGTTTAACAGATTATGAATCTTAACTTATCTTTTATTACTTGGAAGATAATACAACACCACTTTTAGGATAAGAAAGATTCTACCCAAATTTCAATATTCATGCGAAAATAAATTTTATAATCTAAACTTGGTTAAAATCTAAATAAATTAGAAATATTTATCAGCTTAAAACTAATCTTTCCTATATAACTTTTAAAATTATAAAAATACACCAATAGTCCCACATGAATACCTTTTTGATTATAATTTTTTTTTCTAAATTTGAATGAAAGCCTTCTTATTTGTTAGTAGAATCGCTTCAAAATTAGTTAAAATTTATATCTAACTTACTTATAGGGTTTCTACCCACTTTTACTCACAAGACTTTTAAATAAATGATTTCCATTCATATCGAAAAATAAATTAAAACTTCTGAGATGCTTTGATGTCAAAATGTCACGAATACAGAGGTTTGAACAATATTTTGTTCAATGTTCATATGTATTATGAGTTTAAGCCTTAAAAACTTTGCATAACTAGAACCCATATCAATGGTATCACATAATATCCTTGTAATCATCAGTTATGCACAAATATTAAAAATAGTTTTCAATTTAAATGAAAATCTGTTTAATATCTGTCACATGAATATTTGAATTGTTGAAGTAGTCTTTGAAAGTAGTGTTGAATTCTCTTCCAGGTAGAACTAAGTAGTTCACTGATAAATCATTATTAACACCTCTATGGCCAATATTGATTCGTGTTAATCCACATGAGCTGCTGTTGGCAAAAGAATCACCCAACATTGGCCAAAGAAGTATTAATAAAAATCTACAAGAAAACTTCAAATCTAACTCTTTATCTCTTTATAACAAAGAAGTAAAGAACCATTCTTTGTCACTTTAAGATAATCACTCAGCTAATCAATTCCAAAAATTGGGATTAAGGTCAAATTGTGAGAAAAAAATTTCGAGATGGAAAATCAATCTTGGGTAAGAAACATTCTAGCTTCTAAAATATATGTATATATATACACATATTATACACAAAATTAAATAAAAGGACTCTCTCAGATCTGAATATTTTATTTAGTTAACCCACTTATAAAAAAGTTAATTCATATTTAAACTGCAATAACACCACTGATTATACTGTATACTCAATTTTCTAAATCTATTTATAATATTTCTTTTTTGTGTCTTATCAGGTTGTGATGAAAGTGGAAAACTTTTTTTCTTAAATATCACAAAACCTATTTGAAAATTATTAGAAGAGTGCATTTAATATGAGTACCAAGTAATAAAACAGGACTATCCAATTATTTCCTAATATGGATAAAGAGACATTTGTTAATTTTTATCTATTACATATAAATGGGAACAATACTTTCTCAAGAGCAGGGACTCCTTCCATACTCTCCATTATTCTATATAACCAACCATCAATAACTTTAAAAACAAACTCACAGGACCTGATGAGTAATTATTTAGTATAAAAAATTTAGAGCAAGCCTGTCCAATCAGTATAACTTCAGAGGTCACTTGATTTGATTGTTTAGTCATATTTGCACATTATAATCCTTTATTTAATACCATTTGTAAGCAACGAGATACAAAAGTTTCAATAGATGTATACAACACAATGCAAAATGGCCAATCAGGTATTGGCCAGGTCTGGTTTGGAGCAAATTTTGACAATTCAGACACTAACATTTTACTTTATTCAATTATACTCTGATACATCAATTCTAATTAGAATTAGAAAGAATACATAATGGTCATAACATCATGACAGGTTTACTCATAATATCAACGAGAGTTACCTAATCGTGTATGATTCAATACTTATTTAAAAATAATTCAAGACATTATTAAATAAAAATAATGTCCAATTAAATTAAAAATAATAATGAGTTCATACCTTTTTTCTTCAAGACGTTGCCTGATCATTTCTTTCTCCTCTTCAGTTTTGTTAACATATTCATGAAATAACACTTCTCCTTCCATAATACCTGCTTCCACTTTGATAAGCTAAAAATAAAAAATAGTTTAAGGAAATTAATAAAAAGCAAGCATTACACTACATGGTACACATAGATGCAAATTACATTAACTGGGATCCTAACATCATACTACATATATCTTAAATAAAAACCAAATGTTTATCAAATTTTACACCAGTTTTAGACCATTCACCAATACAGTCAAATAAAAAAATAAATAAGAAACCATCATGAATATTATTATAAACAGTACATACTTGAAAATACTGGCACCACTGATGGGAGAACTCAAAATAATGAAGTCACTATAACGCTCTAATTTATAACTCATAGGTTAAGGCATAATGTACAGTTTTAAATAATATTATTTAGTAGATGAATATTACAATACATTTATGTGAATTGTTTTATAATTACAATTAATAAGATAACAAAAATTAATTTAGAAACCAAGAAGTTTACATCTACCAGCTTCGGCCTAATTCTATAAACAAATCCCCTCCTAGTCTTTATCAGTATCCCCACTCCTGAAAGAAAGTTTGCTTCTTTCACAGCTAAATATAACCCAACTTAAGCAAAAAAGATAATGTAACATACGTACTAAAAACATAAATGAGCTGTAAGGTCGAAATCACATTAACAGTCGCTATGAAATGACAACATTTCTTGTAAAAACTCATGTAGAAAAGAAATATTTGTTTTTTTCACTATCGGTCATTTAGGATAAGTTCAAAATGAATGTTTTGTTCAATTTGTATTTATAATTACTACACAAACAGAGGTATAGTATTGCTACCAAGTAAAGAAATAATACTGATAGTTACCAGCTTATAAGTATCACTGTTCTTCACAACACATTCATTTTTATGGAAATAACATTTTATGAATAAACAATTTTTTTCTATATTAATATCAAAATAATAACCAACCTGAAGAGTCATCCTGGGCCCATACTCGGTTAATCTGACAGCTGCTTTATTACCTTTAGTACTTCTAGGACCAAGTGTTTGAGGCAAACTCACATGTGAACCAGGATCATCTTCGACTTCACTATCGCTCAGTAGATCAGATCTAAAATTATATATCACATCAAACAGAGTCTACTTAAATAAATGTATTTACTTTACTCAATGGGTGGTAAAATAATAGTTATCACATATATATTACGTACAATAGAATAAAGCTAGTTAATATAATAGTAATAATGTTTAAAGATTACTTGGTGATAAATTCAGAAACGTCTTTATATCGTGAAAGATCGGGTATTTTATTTCTTCCTAGTTTCTTCACGGCTTTTGAAATTCCTAAAGGTCTCGATCTGATAACATAATGACGAAAATCAATCATTTTTGTATCTTTATTGTAATTGAAGAGTACACATCTTGAAATACTTTTAAGATTGACCTAAAATTAAAAACAAAATAAATAAGTCAAATCACTATAGAAAAACACATATTTGAAAAAATTAAAATTCTAGTTTCACCTACCGTTGTTATGTTGATGGTGGGAAACATTCCTTGAAAAGTAGCTACCATCAATTTAATATGAGGATCATCACCAGTAAAACCATTTAACACGACTAATGGAGAATTTAAAAATATTTTGTTGAAAGCATATTGTTTTCTGAGTGAGGAAAGTACATCCGTAGAAAGAGTGTAATTGTGAATTTTGAAAGTTAGTGTAGGACCTCTAGGAACTCGAATAATCCTCAAATAAGGACTTAAAACTGTTTGTGTAAGTATAACCATATGAGATACATGGAGTACTCCTGTTACAGCAACAAAATCCTTAATAGAATTGCTTTTTCTGGGCTAAAACAAGAGTAGAATAATATTAATAATAATATGACAATGTAATTATAGCAGTCCAAAATTGCAGTTGGATGTTCAATTACCCTTAAATTAGTAGCAGTAAAAGGCTCCATGACATTACGGAAGTCTCTAATAAGCCGTAAAATATATTTCCCAACTAGGCCTCTGTGAAATATAAAGGAATGGGGTGCCCTCACTAATTCTTCTGGTTCTTCAGCGGCTGCTTGTATGTTTCTTTTTTTACAAAGACCCTAGAACATAAATAATATGAAGCTGTAGTAAAGTCTAGTAAAATTGAACTAAATAATAAATTAATTTCAATGATTTGTTAAATTACCTTCTTTTTCCTCGCCATTTCTGTACTTAAATGTTTATGACACTCAAATAATTAAAAGATTCCAACAATATACTTTTTTTTAATCAATGGAAATTGACATCCAATTGTGAACTTAAACACTCATTGAGACAAAATACCCACGTGCCAAAACAAATAACCCTATTGTAACCTTCCGAAACAAATAGCCTTCCATCTTGTTATGCCTAAAAAAATAAATATTTGGACAAAAGGATGTGATATTTTTTATTATGCCTTTCCTCAGAAGAATATTAAAATATAGATAAGGTCAAGGATAAACGTTTGAGTTTATTGTCAAAAATCATTCTTCGATATCTATTTTAAAATTTAAAAACATGAAATTAGGTTGGCTGTAGGGCTGATAAGGATTTATTACCCATTCACTACATTCAAAATCTTAAGTCATTACCGTGGAAGTTAGGTCAGTTTCGTTGTCAAGATGGGAATCGTCGGAAAAGTAATAGGGAGCATGAGGAAAAAAGAATTCAGGCAGTATTTAATGAGGTATTCATTTTTTAAAATTTATTTTATTTTCAAGGTTAAAAGTTTGATATGATTACATAATTTTTCAAACTTAATTGTTATTACTTTCACTCTTTTTGATGAATCTCTGGCTAGGAAGTTTTTGTTGTTACTTATTTATTTTAATGAATTATATAAATATGCATAATTTATAATTATGAATAGTTTTTATAATCCACAAATTTATTATTTTTGCAGTAGTTATTTAATACTGCATTATTTACAGTAATTAAGGCAACATTAATTTAATCGTGTTAATGAAACACATTTAATTTTAATTGTCTTGTCATGAAACTGTAGTGTATAAATTAAATTATCAGCATTTAGCAATTTTTTTTGCCATTTGCTAAGTCAGTAATAATCGTAATTTCTCTACAGAGCTCTTCGCATTCCTACTTTATTTATTAAAATTCTATGGTCATTTCTTATTTTCTATTGGGATTTATTAACATTTTTTTTTTTTTTTTGTGACTTTTTTCAAGCTGTCCAAGCATTTATATTTACGATTTTACTCTATAAATTTAAGTATAATATATTTATTGATCTTTCATGTCTGTAGATTGGTCTCTAAATTTTTTAGCTATAGCTATTCGTAGATACCATAACAGTCATTTTTTCTGTTGAATTTCAAATTATCTGATGCGCAGTAGTGTCAGTAGGATTTGGTCTGCACCGAGTCTCACTTTCCATGGGGCGGGCCCCATACCATATTTATTTTTTAATTGAATAATAAATTTATTGTAAAAAATTACAGTAACACACTCCACGATGAGCAAGATATTAGGTTTTAGAAATAATTTAGTGGGTCTTGGTACTGCTATACAATGTTCTAGTAAGTAAGAATACAAATAAATTATGTATTTTAATGTTATAAAATAGATACAAATCTATTTATTAAAACAAAACAAATTAAAGAATTAGAAATCATCACATTGATAATGTATTCGTCATTAACCTGTAGTTTTTTTTTTTTTTTGGTTTTGGACATCATTTTCTGTTTATGAATTTATTTAATTAATCTTTTCAACATATTAAGCTAAAGAATAATTATTCATTAACTAGCTCGATTATTCGAATTGGGAGAATATATATATTTTTATTTACTTGATTTGTTTTTAGAAATACCTCATTTATATCCAGTTGGCTAATTATGAAGCAACAAACATGATGAAACTTATAATTTTAAATATAAAAGTTTTTCATTAATTATACTGATTCTCTATATTGAATCATATAAAATTAATTTTGTAATAATATATTTATGAAGAGGATGATGAAGCGTTCAAATAAATTTGCAACCAAAGACTAATTTTGATTAACTTATTTCTGACCAATAGGCAAATGAATCACTATAAAAAGAAAAAGGATCAAACCTGCATAATGATAAAAGTTTTTCAATAATTATACTGATTCTCTATATAGATTCATATAAAATTAATTTTTTAATTATGTTATGATTGATACTACAATTTTATAAATTTTATTTCTGTTAATTCAGTACCCATTTTTGGGGTCCTGTTATGAATTGGACGATACCTATTGCCGCTATTGCAGATATTCAATATAAAGATGCTTCCATCATAAGTGGGAAAATGACTTCAGGTAATATTTAATTTATTTGTGACGGTTTAATGTATAAAATGCAACAAAATATTTGTTAACCTATTAGTTTTTTTTTTTTAGCTCTTTGTATTTATTCATTGGCTTTTATGAGGTTTGCTTGGAGGGTTCAACCAAGAAACATGCTTCTGTTTGCTTGTCATTTTACAAATGAAATAGCTCAGGTAACGCAAGGTGTACGTTTTATCAATTACCATTATCTGAGTGAAGATAAGAATGATGAAAGCACCAAAAAGTGATATATTACTGTTTATTGTCTTCCCGATAAAAGTAGTAAAATGAAATCAAAAACCTTATAATTGCCTTTCCTTATTCGAACGATTTATTTATCGAACTATTGTTATAACTATATTTTATTTGGAAGTCATGTTGCATCTCGTGGAGATAATATGACGATCTTAAAGAAAATATTTAATGATCAATGTAATTTATAATGGTTGTATATTTCTAGTAACAAAAAGGAAAATTAATTTGGAACTTGACTTATCCATCTTAATGACTCAATTTAGTTTTTATAAGAAATTATACTTTTGAGACTGAGAACACATTTTAGCATTCCAGTCAGGATGTCTTTCCCGTCAAAAATTCAGCTTTATAGCTGTAATTCAACTGTGCAGGGTATGCCCCAACCATGACAATGTATTTTAAAAATTTTTATCATTGCTGAAGAAATGTATTTTTATAAATGTTATTGTAATCATACAATATTTTTATAAGTATTTTAATTGTTATTATAATTTAAATTGTAAAAAAAAGGAAAGAACTTTGTTGTTTAGTTAAATTGTTATATTCATTCCACAACCTGGAATGAAATGATTTATTTTTTCTATCTTAAATTAGAACGTGTTGCATTCCTTGTTGACCTCTTATATTTAATCTTGTTAATTATTTTTGTATTTGTTATTTTTTTTTAAATTACTTTTATGTAGTACAAATGTTTTAATGGTGTTACCTTTTGAACAAATATATTATTAAAGTTATTTTTAAAATAAATAATGTTTCAATGATCTGAAAATATTTTATTGTTTATTTGTGTTATCTCAAATCAAAATTGTTTCTCATGATCTGTTATTTCGAGGTATTAATTATTTATTAATATATTGCAGTTTTTATTGAAAATTCCTATTTATGTTTTAGATGACAGACAACTTTATACATTACAGGTTATTTCGAATTGTTTTCTTATATCAAGAAATAAAATTTTATTTTTAATATATTCACATTTATGTTATCATTCCCCTTATTTTATAACATGTTTTCAATTTATATATTCTTATTGGTTACAAGAAAAGTAAAATTCACATAAAAAATTCCCGCTTAAATCAATTTTCAGTAAAAATGGCAGCACATAATTTATTTATGTGCTTTATTGACCAAGTAAAAATGGAAGAACGAATATTAACATAAAAAATTATGATTTAAAGACTCTTCACACTATTGACCGATAATACATGCAGATTTAAAAAAAAAAAGTTTCTTGACCACTCATGAATTTTATTGTATTTATTGTGTCATGAGTTCAGTACAATAATAAAAAACATTTTGTATATAGCTCAACTTAATTCTATTAATTTCCAAATTTTCTTTTCTTAAATAATTAAATATTAATTAACTCTAGTGCTAGACAAATAAATATCGCGCAAAAATGTTTGAAGGCCACATTAGCCCTAGAGGAGGCAGGTTCCCCACCTATGATCAAAACAATGAGGCTGCAAACGTTTTGGCCTGCAGGCTGCATTGAGACCTTCACCTAAGTCTGGGGGTCATGGCGTGTGATGAAAAAAAATTCTTTTTCTATAAATAGCACTTCAATTGTGAAATGAGCTTTCGAAGAGAAAAAAAATCACGCAATAAATGTTGTAATAACATCTTGTGTGAGCAATATGATGAAATTCATATTTTTTAAATAGTTTTAAAATTTTACTATGTGATAAACAAAATTTTCGCAGGCCGTAGTTTGGAGACCTCTGATCTATACTGTTCTCATAATATAATAGAGTATCATCTTATTGAATTAATCAAGTTCAAAACAATTGAAAAGCAGAATCAGATATTTTTTACTTAAACTATAAATAAAATATATTTTTAAATTTGCTGTTCCCAGAAAATATCCCCTTTCCTTGTTCCAGCACTGTATTTCAAGATTTGGTAGAATTTCTTACCTCTTTGGTTTTACTTAAAATCCCAATTTAAGTTAAACATAATTTTTTCATTATATTTTTTTCTAATTGCATTTTTAAAGCAATTTATAAATAAACCGATAATTTGTTTATTAACAAAAAATTGTATTTTCGCTTGTTTATTGTCAAAAAGGTTGATTAATTTAATTTTAATTCAATTGATTATCTTAGAGACTTATTATTATTTCTATTAATAACCAATAAATGAAGACAAAACAAATTATTCCCTACTGTTAGTGCAAAAAGCCGCATGTAGAAATTGAGTTTTTTTACAAGAGAGCATAAAACCTGATTACTTCTTTATGATTTATTAGTATAATTTCACATTTTACTTCCCTCTACTATTTTCCATAGAAGCAGTCTAATTATGGCTGCTGTAGACTACAAAATTTCCTCTTTAACTAGTTTAAGAATGTAAAATAGTTACATACACTAGCGATATAAAATAATAAGCCCAATAACTGGATCTGCGTGAAGTGTAACAGTTTCCACGAGTAGAAAATTTTAAATATTCAATGAATTGCGTACGGTCGGAGACCAGCTGGTAACAAGCGCAAAATGAGCTTTTTTCTCGCTTTCAGAGATATTGAAATCCCAAAAATTTCAAATTACAATACTATAATAAAGCCAGTTCTAATATATGGCAGTGAGATTTGAACACTAACCAGCAACCTAGAAAAAAATATTGAAAGATTTGAGAGAGAAATCCTTCGAACGCTACCCGGAGCGACATCAGAATACTAACACACGGAGAAACTAATAGAGAGCTGCTTACAATATCTGGTCAATCAATATATCATGATAGGAAGTGCCGGAGGTTAAGATGGGCGGGGCATGTAGCTCGTAGCAATCCATCCGGAAGACTCTACACGACAATGAATGTTTCAATAGTAGGCAAAACACCTCGTGGAAGGCGAAAAAGCAGGTGGATTAGTAAAATCAACAATGGTGCAATAGAGCTGCATGCAGATAACTGGAAAGGAATAGTCCAAGAAAGAAAGAGGCGGAGTAGGCTTGTTAAGGCGGCCAAAGATCTACAAGATATAATGCCAACAGAAACAGAACAAATTAATAATATATTGACCGTAGAACGAACAAATTTATTGATAAAAAAAATAAATAAAAAGAAAGGAGTTTGAGAAAGCATTTTACTGAAAACATTTGATCGGTAATTCTAAGTGGTTAAAATTTGCAATTGAAAGGGAAAAAAACTTAAGTATATGTGTATTGAGTGCCTTTTATGGTGAGAGTATTTTCGGGATAGAAACAAAACATTTTCGTCTTTTTCACCAGATTCCACAGGTGTCACGAAAAACAAGATCTCTTTCAAACGAGTTATTTTCACGGCCTCCAATAAGAAAACGAGAAGAAGAAATGTAATATATTAAACAGCGGTCCATAGGATTCATTTTCAAAATTAATACGATTTTACATTTTAAATTAATAAATATTTGACAGAAGGGCGACCTGGGGCCCACACGTCAAAATGAAAAGAATGACTTTGAACAAGCGACTGAAAATACTATACTCACTCTTTTCTAAATCAAAATTGAAAATTAGACAAAAACTAAATACATAAACTTATCTGCTCAAACCCATTTGGACATACACCTCACAGATTTACGGTTCAGCAAAAAAGACTCCCTTACAAAAACTACAATCCTTTCAATCTAAAATTTTAAGACTAATAACTGCAGCTCCCTGGTACGTCAACAACAAGACTTTACATACCGACCTAAGACAACCTACCATTGACCAGCACATACTCTTTACTGCTGATTTCATCTTAAACTACAAGGACATCACAATGGACTTATCAAAGACATGGCGACGGCTGAAATGCTCTTCAGGAGGCGACTGAAAAGGAGCTGGATGAGAGATCTTTCCTGATTTTGGATGTAAACAGACCAGGGAAGAGGTGTTGCTGGGCACCATTCTTCGTCATGCATATTATGCCTTTTCCAACTTAACAACAAATCTGCTAATTGTCACTACCATGACAGGTGCGGATGAAGAATTGAAGAAAAAAAAAAAAATCATCAATAATTTTATCTAAATACGATTATGAAATAATTATTTTTTCTATAACAAAGAATATTACAATTTGGCTGGTTGTACTTACGTGGCATTCGAGATGGTCTGTTGATCAGAAGTGTGCCCAGGAGCTGCCCAGTAGGCTGTACTGAGAACTTGCTGTAGTACATTGGACATTCCACGATGATAATTTATAAACTGCCTGTTTGATAACTACAAGGGAGATCCAATAATCCAACTTCTCATCTAACCAACATAGGCTGATCGTATTATTTATCCGTCTTTTGTATTAGAAATGGTAGGACCTATGTACTTAACATATGATCTGCTATTCCATCTCCCCTAGCAACATTTGTAATATTTATACCATTCTAAATATTCATTCAATGTCAATAGAAAGAAGAAATTAACGTTTTCAACGTTAACAGAAATTCAAAATTTAGTTTTTATCGTCAATTTATCTTTTGATATTGTATACTTTGTATATGGGTCATTTTTTTAATAAAAAAAAGCTCACATTAGATGTCCTTCTGTTTTAAAAATTTATAGCTCTCAATAAAATAAAATTACCAATTAACCACTTCGGTTCGCTTTTATTTCCATTTGAAAATGACTATAAACATATGCGGAATAATCTTTTTTGCGCCCCGCGTGTAGTTGTAAAGAAAAGCAGATAGCATGTCATCTTTTTCCCGGTTTGGTGATCAAATGGTCTTACGATTCAAGTGGAAAGAAAATAGGTATTTATGAGTCGAATGAATAAATGGATGAGAAATACTTTATTAAATATGTATAAATTATAAATTTTTAAAATACAAAGAACATTTATACGGCATGATTACTCGTCTGCCGGAAATGTTATATGTTTTACATGTACAGTACAAATAAAGATCTTATAACAACTGCATATACATGAATGTATATATTCAAGTATTTTGAATAATTTATGTCTAAGAAATAATAATAAAGGAAAATAATGGAAATAATAAACAATAACATGAATAAAACTGACCACAAATAACTTAGACGGATCATTGTTTATGCTGGATGTAGCAAATTAAAACGGTGTTTCCACGCATGTCGAGCAAAACCGACAATTTTACGGCATTCGTTCACAGGTATTTATGAGTTTTTAGTACCTAATTAAATTAATTTAATGAGCAAACGTCCCATTTCTGATCGTTTTCTTAGATGAATAATTTGTACGATACGAACTATTCATATTTATGTTTTAGGCGGATGTTAATAATTTGATAAAAGGGGTCTGTATCGCGGACTATAAATACATAGATGCTTGGTCTTGAAAAAAGGATTTGAGTGAGGTTACTGATCTGTGGACCAATAGTGACAATCTTTAGCTATAATTTCAAGATATTTTGGGCCAAGATTTTTCGTTTTGCTAGTACGGTGTTATCGTAAGCGAGCGAATTGACATAATATTTTAGCCAACAACGACAATTTTAGCCACTTCCTGATTGCCTGAATCCAAGGGATGGTTCTTACCTCCATAAGAATATGAAACTGACTAAGTTTCAACTAAAGTTCAATCTGAAGATCGGCAAACTTTGTCTATTTAATGGTGTACTAAAAACTCATGGAGACCCACTTTATTTCCTCGTGAATCGTAAAACAATTCGATCCTATAATCTAGAATAAAGATAACCTACAAAAATATTGAGCCTTTTGGGGTGACCTCTATCCCCAATATGTCAAATTAACGAGGTTGTACACTGTTTAGGCAACTTTCCAAATTTCATGTTTAATAAGCTAATAACTCTAATGAGATCTACTTAGGCAGCATTCGACATTATTTTGGCAGTGGACTGTATTTTTATTGTAAGTGGTAGGTTATATGAATTATGCAAATAAAACTCAGCGTTTTATACTGACATAGACATCTTACTTAGCTGAGAGAGCGCCCTCCAGTTTGGCCTGAGGTATTCTCTCTGGAAAATTTCGGCCTGGAATGAACTGTGAGCGTCTCGTAGCTTGGCCGGCTGAAATTTTATCTTTATCAAATCTGTTTTCACGACTCTCCACAACGCGGCGCTCGGGTACAATAGCATTTACAAAAACCATATACCGTTTGACCCAATATTTTTATAGAATGCCTTATTTTTTGATTTTGTGAGCGAATCATTTTACGATTCAAGTGGAAAGATAAAAAGGTATCTAATATGTTTTTAGTAACTCATTAATGATTTTAGTAACTAATTTTTGAATTAATTTATGTTATGATCAGATGAAGGCATTCACGAAGTTTTAAGCGGATGATAATAATTTGATAAAACGGGTTATTTACCACGGATACACACCAGTACATAGGTCTTGATAATTCCATGAGTATAACGGCTATTTTCACAATATTCCTGAAATTCGAAAAGGCGCAAAGAATGTTCGTTTTAACTCCAAGGATCAAGTGTTTATCTCCAGACGATGTTGGTCTTCTAAACTGAATAGTTGAACACGATTTTTAAAACATTAAAAGCACTTTATTTAAATAACTCTATGATTCCTCGATTCGTTTTGAAACCAGTCATTGTTGTTTTGAACTGTTTTTTTTTTTTTTGTGTGTGTAAAATGCACAAGATTAAAGCTAATAAACTTTACAATGTGATTGCTAATATACGTTTTTTCGCTACTTTCTTTAGTTTCCGAGATATCCGTCCTCAACTATCGCTAATTTAAAAAAAAAAATGTTACTTCATGTTTTTTACTGTATTTGACTAGCTAACTCTTGATTGCTTTGTTCTGCTATTAAGTCATGTGGAAGAAGTTTTTAATCATTAAATTCTGTGCAAGAATATATATTATTTCACTACTTTATCTCCATCCATTCAAAAGTTAGGTCAAATATAACTTTATATGACAATTCCGACAATTTGCAGAATAAATTATTGTTGTAATATTCGTTATTATATATGTAAGTATATACATATATTGTATCTACGAAGAGATTTAGATGTGTAGAGAGTTATAGCAATATAATAACGGATATCATAAAAATTGTTTTTTTCTTCAAATTCTCGGAATTGTTGTATAAAGTTATAATTGATCTAACTTTTGAACCGTTGAAGATAAATTAGTAAAATAATATATATTCTTGAAGAAAAAATAATTAATAAAAACTTTCTTCCCCCATGGCTTTATCGTAAAACGAAACAATCAAAAATTAGCTAGTCAAATACAGTAAAAATATAATCAATATAATTAATCATATTTCAAATTTCATCAGCTTTAATATTGTATAGAACGTCTTTGTCCATGTGATGGATAGTTTTCCTGATATGAGCGAAAACTCGAAAAAAAGTATCCTTCTAGGTGCTCCCCACATCTGGCCACCTAGGTGACATTTAATATGTTTACCTCCTTACTGGTCCAAACCATGCCACAAAGTCAAAAATTGTGTCCCTGCCATTTCCTTCTATACTCCCTTTTTGAACATTCATTGACTGGACCATCACACAAAATGGTCTTTCTGTGTGTATTTGAAAAGCCTAGCTTGAAAAGGAAAAGTACGAAACTGAAATTGCGTATTGAAGATTTGTAAGTAGCGGATGTGATAGCAACTTTTTCGTTAAAAGCGGAAAATCGGAAGTGCCACTTTTTATCTTCGATTGTAGACATTTTTACGATATTCTCGAAAACGGATCTAACGATTTTTATTAAACTCGGTATATCAAAGTATAATTAAATGGCCTTTAATATCAGATAGGTCTTATCTGATAGTGATGTTGCTTAATGCTCCAAATTATTTCCTCTAAAGTACCTCTAATTTGGTTTATCTTAAATAATTAACTATATATCATTATCAACAGCAATAAAATGGATGAATATAAATTTGATAATTAATTAAAGTAGAGAAAAGGAAAAATGTGTTTTCAGGTTGAATATGAATTTCCGATAGTTATAATCAGAATGCGTATGTATAATAAACCGTTGGAAATCTGAGCATGTTAGAAAAAATAATATCTAACATCTAGAATTGCTGGAGGTCATAGAGAGTGACGCAAAAATTATAAATAATAATTTATAAAACTAATATCATTTAGCAGAAAACAAACGTTGCCTTGGAAATCAAATGAAATTTTCTTATTAAATGTGAACTTTTAAAATTATTTTTAAGCTTGGAAAAAGATATGTATAATCCACCAAATCAAGGCAACGGCATTGTTAAAAAAACTATGTTGTTGCACTTATATGAAAGATGTGAAATATGAAAATATTTTATGGATGAGTAAAACACATGCTTTTAACCTTAAATACATTTACTGTAGTTTAATAACTTCAAATCTGATATTATATTTAAATAAAAATCATAATTTGATGATTTTTTACGCTGTGAAATAACAATATTGTCGACTTACAATAAGTGTGACAACTTTTGACTTATAGATAATAGGCAATGAAAAATTCGTAACTTCATTTTAATAGATTTTGCAAGAGGAAAATAACTTGTGTAATGTTGTTCAGATTTAATTCTTATACATTTCAGAATGTGTTACAATCTTCACTCATTTATTGATTAAATATATAGAAGTATTTTCAAATCTATTTACATTAAGCTAAGAAAGTGGAGTTACATGGTTCAAAAAGACAGATGGAGTTTCGAGGTTTTTATTGCCTACCTTCGATATAATAAATAGAGTTTGTGTTACTTGAATGGTCTTAACAGGTTAGCTCTAAGGTTAAAGGTTTAGCCCCGTTTAAAAACTTTGGAGTAACCCAACTTAGTCAAAAAATAATTTATGTTCAAAGTAGAGCGGTTAGTGAAAGTTGTGCGATGCGCGTACCGGATTTTTTTTAATAGAGCACTCACAACATAAAAAAATTGGAACTTGAAAAAAAAATTGACTTATGAATGAACTTCAACTATCTTTGACTGAAATTGCTAAAAGTCTCGAGTCAACAGCTGATGCTTCGGCTACCAGTTACTAGCCAATGTCGATGTCTTTGATTTAAAATCCCAACTGACTTCTGTAATATTAGGGGTCCTATCTTGCAAATAAATATTTAAACCCCCACCCTCTCTCCTTAAGCCCCAATAGACAAGAACTCCCACCCCTTCCGGGTCGGAAAGCAACGTTACAGTCATAATGGGTATAGAAAAAAAACAAAACTAGTTGGTCGCTTTCATTGGTCAGCCACAGACCATCAATGGGGTTGGCCAAAATATTTTGTCTCTTCTTGAATCATAATTGATATAGCTCAATTGGTACAGCTCTTGTATTAATCAATAGAGGATATGTGAACATATCTTAACAAAGGCTTCATAAAAGATCTGCTATGTTTTCTACTCTTCTTTAGAAAGACCTAAACTATCAAAAAAAAGAATAATTGTGGTCTCTTTAAATTAAATATCTGCTTTCGTTATATCCTTAATGTAACCGATGTTCAATCCCT